AATTGTCTAGCCTTTGACCCTCCCTTCATCATAACCAATCTGTAGCTGCAGAAGAGTTAAACCTATGTTCCTCTTTACTGCCTTAGTTCCTATTAAACCAATTCTCTTGTCTTGGCTGTTCCTCCTGTATAGTCCTTAATGCCATTTCCCTATGTCTAGGAAACAAGAAAGAAATTGTGGAGAACTTGCCATTTACCAGCTATAAAGGCAGAATTGCCCAAGGTCAATGGAACAAGGCATCCATTTTCCAAATAACCATGAACAGGATGTAATGAAATTAAAAATTTGCAAATGTGTGATGAAATTCTCTTTGTTTCCGTTTTTTTTGTGTTGAGTGATTCAACATTCTATGTCTGATGACGTTTGAGGAACAGCTGGTTCCAAGGGTTGCTAGATGATAAGATTCAATTCTACCCAGCAGTACATGAGGGGCTTATTGCAAGGTTTCTGATTGGTCACTCAGAACAGTTTTAGGATTTACTGAAGAAGAGTTCAAAGGTTATTGGAAAGTGAAAGCAGGAGAAGAAGGCAGACAGAGAGAGATGTGGACTCAATGTTAAGACTGCTGCAGCTGAACTACACAGATTTTATGTAGGAGACTCCATGAGGAATGTTGAGCAGTTGCATGGCTTTGTGCTGTCATAACATGTCTATCACATGTTAATTCTAGTTATTAGAAATAAGTTGTCTATGCATTGTATTCCTGTTCTAATGTTGTGTAGTGAACATTATTCTTTGTTCAAACTATGGAATCTCATAGCTTTATTCTCTTAGTAAATCCCACACCTTGTCTACTCTAAAAATAGTTCCTAGCCAGGTCCGGGGACTTAAAGACAACATTGAATTGAAATCGGATAAATTTAACAGTCTTGTGTAACTATTACATTAATAAACATGGTAACCTGTAATTCCCCCAATATGTGCATGGTCTATGATCCTTTCAAACTGGATGATTAAGCCGTCAGAAAAATATGGGAAAGCCTGTCAGATGGCACAATTCCTGAAGCATCCTTTTTATTATTAGCCAGCTACAGGAACAGTAATGATATGATGTAATTAGTCATGAAGTTTCAAACAAGTTGCGAATAGAATTGAAACGGAGGGTGATTCGATTGATACACAAACGACATAATTCTGCTAACCCTTCACGGTAACTAATTCCTCCTCCACACTCCCAATTCCCAGCAAATGATTCTGTGCTGTTTCAACTATCTAACAAGCTGGAGTTAGCAGAACATGTTGTGAATATTCAATTTCATATTTAATTTTTGTATCACATGTTGGTCCAAAAAATATAAAACCACAGATTGAGAGGCTTATGAGAATTAGATAAATTGTCATCTAGTGAACTCTAATGTCTTTTTTCTACTTTATGACTTGTAGTTTGTAGCTTGAGATCTACAGTTGACAGTGTTGATTGCTCAATCGGAGGTTATGGAAAGTGCGACCTCGCTTGTGGAAAATGTTCTTTGTGTTGGGAATGAGATAACAAATCTGGAACGAGCCAAAACATCTGGACTTGTCAATTCCCTTGCTATAGAATATTTTCTAATCAGGAAAACTTGACAAACTGCGTGTGTGGAGCCTTTCCTATGAAAATTAGTTCCAATTAAGTGTACGCTTGACTGTAAGAGCTGACCAAATCCCACACATCCTAGTCATTTCTAATAGGCTGAGAGGCTCATGAACTAGAGGACACTGAATACTGAGACCTGGTGTATTTGGGTAATAATAAATGCCATTTAGGCATTAATTGAGACTGAGTGGAAACAGTATTCTCCATGCAGTTTCGAGCTCCACTGGGACAGAGGTCTCAAGTTTGTTGAAAACATTTAGTTATTGGGATTTGCCTAGTGTGGCCAATTAATGACCAGAGGGCAGGCTTTCAGTCAAGTTTATGGGAGTGAGCAGCTTCTGAAAGCTGGAGGACTTTCCAGCTGAAAGCAGCAGCAGGCTGTGATGACAGGTAAGTAAGGAAGTCGGTACTTCAGAATGAAAATTCCTGTCTCCAACTTTGTTGAAGTTTAAATTAAAGGTGGCTTTTATTGTTAGACCACCATTAAGAATGGTGACTCCAGCAGTCAAAGAAGGCTTCTAGCTTGTCAGATGCCTTGACCATAGGATCCTTGGAGGATGCAGTCGTGCAGCTAAATTGACCCCTGCCACCTGATGGAGCATAAAGGCTGAATAGAAAATTTCGGTCAGCCTCTTTTAAATTGGCCTTAAGAAACCATTAATACAATTGCCATTCCACTCCAATCCTCACCCCACAAATTGCCTTTGGGAAAATAACCGGGGACAGGTCATAGCCAGGGAGTACTGCAGCCAGTGGCACAACTTGTGGTGTGCAACTTCTCCAATCACTAGACACAACAGAGTTTGAAAATAAGGCCAACTATGTCATCAGTCTGTGGAGAATAATTCAGGTAAATCTCCGTGCCACATGCAGAACTAAATTAGCACACACATTTTCCAGCAATGATTTAGGTTCAGGGAATCGTAAATCTTTTTTATTCATTCACAGGATGTGGGCATCGCTGGCTAGACCAGCATTGATTGCCCACCTCTAATTGTCCAGAGAGCAGTTGGGAGTCAACCACATTGCCTTGGGTCTGGAATCACATGTGGGCCAGACCAGGTATATATCGTAATATTGTTCTGATCCAGATGGGTTTTCTTCTGGACAATCGATAATGATTTCATGATCACATTAGATTTGTAATTCCAGATTTTTCTTGAATTGAAATTCCGCAATCTGCCATGCGTCTCCAAATTAACTAGTGATAATACCACTAGGTCATTGCCTACCCAGTAAACCTGTTTTAAACGTGTACTTCCTCTAATTCCTGCCCCATCCACCCTTGGATGTTGAAACCAGTGAAATAGTTGTCAAATTACCCAGTACAGGGAGATGATATAAATGCCCCTTTTAAATTAAAAGGAGTTTTGAATTGTTGGAGATAGTATAATCATTAAATAATTTTGCTGCCAAGAATGTCACGTTAAGGCCTGTTGCTCCTTGGCTGTGATCTGCTCAGTCATTTGTACTGAAATTCATGAACTTGGCAATTTTAGAAGTAATACTTCACTGGATATGTATGTATCTTGTAGTCTAGCTTGGCAGGTTATTGGCAATGAACTGTAATAGCATTTTTAGTGCCAAGAATGCCAGTTATAGAATTACACAGCTTTATAAATGTTATTTCTGCAAAAATCTGTACATTTGCCAAACCTCAGTCAATTGAGATTTGTAACAGGTTATTTGTATCTCATATCCTTAATCTATCTCGTCTTGCACATCCTAATGTAAGAAGATGGTTTCATCCACTCAGTTAAAGTAACTGGGATTCCAGTGTAGCAAACAAAATGACAAGTGTCTTATATTTAAGTAGTATATTTCATGACTTATAGCCAATGAAGTAATTTTGAAGTTTATTCATTATTGCAGTGTAGTAGTACTGAAAGAATGATGCCGTACCAGAGAGGTGTCATTTACAGGAGACTTGTCAAATCCCCATCTCCATTGAAGATTCCCTGAAAGTCATCAAAATAAAAGCTGATAGTCCGCCACCAAAACAAATGTTCCCATTTGCAAGGCATTGCAATTGTAAAGGCCATTATGTTCAGCTACACAAGACAGCAATTGAAAATGTAATCCATGATATCAGACCTGTTTCGGTGACTTGAGAATTAAGATGAGATGCTATTTTGGGTTCGGCTGTCACTTTCCTCTCTCTCTTTGCTCTTTTCTCACTCAGTATCCTCTTGCACTTGCTGTCCTTTCTGTCTCATTCTTGCTGTGTTCTTTCTCTCTAACTTGCTGTCCCCACGTCTCTCTCATTCACTGTCCCAACCTTCCTCCCCCACACCCCTAGTACTCACTATGTTCTCCTCAGCCAACCACCACACCCTCCCCACCCCCGCACTCACTGTCCCATGTTTCTCACACTTGCTGTATCCATTCTCTCTCTCACTTGCTATCTTCTTGCTGCGTTTTCTCTCTCTCTCTCACACACCTTCCCAGCTCTTATTCCCCCTCCTTTCTCACTGTCTGTTTTTCTAGATGGTAGAGGTGATGGTTTTGGAATGTCAAATTTCAGCTTGATTCATTGGTTTACATTATCACCTCTACCATTGTGTTGTGGGTTCCATGAACCATTACTTCGCTAAATAAAACCGGAGTAAATGATGCGTTGTCCAAGGGTTGTCCTATGGGTAAAGAATTAAACATAACTGTTCAGTCGGTTCAAGTGAATACAAAAGGTGTCAATTATTTTTGAAGACAAAGAATGAGCTCTCCTCCTGTCCCAGTCATTCCTCCCTCAACCAATGCACCAGTTATGGGTTCACTGATGACCTTGTTTAATGCCTGCTGTGGAGCATTGTTATGTGCAAAATGCCTGCTATTCTCTCGATAAGTGAAATGGCAAGTGTTTTGGGACATTTGAGCAAGATGATTAGGTGCTGTATAAATGCAAGATGCTTCTTCTTGCATTCTGTGTTTGTTTTGAGTTAGAAAAGTCCCTATATCCCACCAATGAGGAACTGTTGCTTGACATCATGGTCCCCATTCACAGTTTTTCCTGAACAAACATGCAGTCCTTTTAAGTTCAATTTCAGAAAAAATAGCCACCTGTCTAAGATTCAGTAAGTAAATAATCTGAAGAACTTGAGACAGAATATGTGTATTGGACATCTGATGAAAGGACCCACTTGAAAATAGAAGAAAACAAGGAGCAGGAGTAGGACAGACCACTCCTCAAGGCTGCTCGACCATTCCCTTAGTTCATTGCCGGCCTTCCATCTCTACTCCACTTTTGGATCTCGTCCCCACATCCTTTGATTTATATTGGTGTTCAATCACATACCAATCTCAGTCTTGAATATACTCGATGACAGAGTATCCACATCACTCTGGATTAAAGAATCCCAGATATTTATTCCAGTAAATTCCAGTGTTGTTTTGAGTCACTGCTGACTACTCTGTTATTTTATTGCAGGTCTGGTCTAATTATGAGGAACAGCCAGCAGAAGAAGCAGTGCTGCAGGTTGCGGAGGAAAAGGAGCGCACAACCAACTATAAGCCTGTCTTTGTAACTGAGATAACAGATGATCTCCACTTCTATGTACAAGATGTTGAAACTGGTCAGTACCCTACATCAGGGGAGGGTTAGGGATAGGGATGTGTTCTTCGGTGACCTTTCAATATTACCTCCTCAGCTGAAGGAGACTGAAGCTAACTATCGCAATTAGTGTGCAAATTCTTGACAAAATAAATCTAGTCCCTGCGTGGACTGCAACACTGTTCTTGCTGCAGAGACAAACATGCTAAATTTAGTAATATTTATTTCCTTCAGTACAGCAGGTACAACAGAAAAATAGAGTCAATTATTGACTATAGGCAAAGGCTGTAATATGTTTGAAGTTTGGGATGTATTCAAGCTGTTTGCATAATCATCAAGTCCCCCAGTGGGGGGAAGACCTTTTTTATATCGTGGTGCACTTTGCCTTTACGATTTTCATATTTCTAAGTTTAGACTTGTCACTTCATTTCCATCTCAGGATGCCAAACTGCAGTGTCAGACCAGCAGAATTTACAAAGCAGCTTCATTTAATGTGTGGGAATCAATGCAATCCACCAGTTCTGTGGTGGTTGACCATGGGAATAGAATATTTTATTGCAAAACGAGGGTGAGGGGGTTGGGGGGAGGAATCCTTCACTGACAGCTTTATGATAAATTGTGTGTTACTGAAATATTTATTTCCCATTTACAGCCAGGAATCTGAAGTTTATTGTTGACAAGTATTTTTGTTTTGTTATGTAAATGAGGAAAACATTGTAAATCCTAAAGGATTTAAGAACATATTTACTATATCAAAAAGTCAGTGGAATGTAAATGGGAGTTGTTCCTGTTGTGATTGTAGCACATGTATTATGTCTCGTCCAGAAAACAGTGCAGTAAGAGTCTTTTTGCTAGTGGCAGAAAGTTGTTATGCTGGATGTAATAATGTGCTGATAGCTTGTTCCCAGCTATATATTTGAATAAATTTCTGCTGATTGAAGTGACCACAACAGTTATCCAGGCAGTTTTGTCATTCTCATAGTGTGTGGATATTGTCATGATATTCATAAAGCAAAATGGCTTCTTGGACTTTCCTATAACAAGAAGCAGCAGCTTTTCAGTTCTATGCCTGATGGCACAAACCGGAGTGTGACACACTCCTAGTTTTGCTTTCCACCATTAAAAGTTTAATCTTGAAACATTAAAGAGCAATTTGGTAAAGGACAATAAAAACGGTACAATTTAATCCATGTTAAAAATGTGTTTTGGTGCATACTTGTTCAGGATGTGAAGAAGATCATTTTGCAGCCAGCGCTGCAGTCTTTCCTGTGATTCTACGCTAATGTGGCCTAATTCAACTCTAATTGGTTGCTGCAGTCACATGACAAATGGTGCACAGGTTCAGCTTTTCCAGAGTTCCCAGTCGAATTAATGTCCAAAGACTCCCTTTAACTTGATTTCTTATTCTGCCAGAATGAATGTCTGATAATTTCACCATAATCGGAGTTTCAAATTATCTGAATTTGACTTATCGCAGTTTCTTTGTGCTTTAGTAGAGACAGCAGAGAGTGGACAGTATTAGTTTTGTGAAGTTTACTGTGTCATACAATTGTTGTAAGAAATGGCATCCGTTTTCTGAAGGCGGTAAGTTAAGTAAAGGGGATTGAATTTGGAAACAGTTGATCACCAGAAATGGAACAACCAGTGGGAAGCTCAGTATGTTCCTCTGGGTATTCTGAAAGCAAATAACACTAGATGTGTAGAATTCAGGATATTTGGTTGAAAAGGTGTCAAGACATACAAGTAGATAGTACAGGAATGCTGTACTATCATTTCTAAACCTATATTTGAATGCTCCTTCTGGATCTCAGTGGTTATGAATCTGCACTGCAAACTGTCCATAGTTTTAGCCAAATTTGATTATCCCTTTCTGAGAGCCCATTGAGACAGATGGAAAATCCCAAAACATTGTAGTGAAAATTTTTGAATTTTTTTATATTTTCTGCTGTTAATGATTGAATTATGCTCATCATATTATTGGTGCACTGTGGGAATAGCTGTGTTGCGTATGCAAAAGGTACTATTCCTGAATTCATGACCTGGGACTGCCTAGTGGCAATTTACAGAGAATCTATCAAAGCCATACATAACGCAGGAGCATTGATGAGGTAGGTTTTAAACTTCATTTTCTCTCTAACTTTTTTTTAATCTGATGCGACTGTCCTTTGTAGTAGCATTGGATACAAAATCAAATTTTGAATTCTTCATGATTGCAAAGATTTTTTAAATATGCATGTTGCAAATCGGTATGTAAGTGAAAAAGTACATCTGACTAAAGTGCTAATGGTAGTGTTGCAATTTCCTATTCCTTCTCCAGTGGTTTCTGTTGGAAAATGTTGAAGTATCTTGTCAAAGAAGACAGGGTCGTGGTTATTTTTAATTTGAATGTTACTTGACACTACTTCTTCCTGTAAATTCTCTTTCTTCCCTCAACGAATTACTTATCCCAAAGGTCAAATATCAGGTCAGCTCAGATTAGGCTCACAAGGCTTAATGGCTGGAGGTGGGTACCTCCTTTTTTGAATGTCTCGAGGAATGCTATCTGCGTGCTTTACCTTCTTAGAGTGGCAGTAATTGAAAGCTTCTCATAACACCATTTGGCATCTGCAGATAGTAGTGTCTTCAGGAGAGCCCATTTAGTTGAAAGTTTCCAGCATTAGTTCAGTAGAACCAAATGTAATAAAAAGTTAAAGGAATTAGACAATATCGTGGCTCGCATCCAGATATCTGGTTAAGCACTGACAAGACTCTGTGGGGAAATGTTGATTTGCCCCTGAGTGCTCTGGTATTTTTATAAGTCTTTAGCTTAATTGCTCATCCAACCACAGTCAGAATAATTGTGTTGTGACAGAAAACCAGTGCAATTTCTTTCGAGTACTTTCTTTAATCCATTTTTTGTTAGAAATTAGCAACTTTCTTTTCATATTCCCCAAAGGTAGCTAGACTTCTATCCTCAACATAAACAGATTTTCTTCATGTTATTACAACCATGGCTGGTGGTTTGTACTGTCTCTCTAGTTCCACTTGCTCCGTGGGTCACAACACAACATTAAAATTCTTATTCCATTTACCAAGATTACCAATTAAGTACCTTGTCTCTATCAGATTTTTGAACAGCAATATCTGTTAATCCAATTCTTAACAGACACAATTATAGGTTTATTCTTAAAATAAAATGTATTCATTAAAGATGCAATATTTGGTTAACAAACGCAGTCAGTAAAATAGAAAATATAGATGTTTATCCCTCTAAATATCCCCAAAAATAATCAAAATACACACAACACACTCTTTTCAGGGAAGTGCGAGGGAAAGCATTTCTCTATAGAGACTGGCATTCGGGAGCTGGGGTGACACTTTGGCCAGTGGGTTATTGTTCAAGGCAAAAGGATAAAAAGTTTAAGATATTCTGGAGTCTGTTGCTCTGCTGTTATGGCAGATGTGAGTCAAGTCCCTAATCATACAAGAAACAACTTGCTCAGGAAATACATTGATGTTCTTTGACACATTCTTTCAAAAGAGCAAACAGGCTTTACCCTGAATTGATGTAGAGGTTTTTCTTTTCAGAATTGGGAGAGATCTGCTGGCCACTTTGCACATAGTAAACTTCCCTCCAATGCAGTTCATTCTTAGCAGGCTTTCCTCCAACTCCGCTAAATAAAACAAGAACCTTTCCAAGCCAGTCAGTGTTCATAAACAGCCCTAACAGGGTCTACACCAAAGCAACAAGTTATCATTAGTCATGTGATTTATAAGAAGCCTTGTTTTTTTAAAAATCTGTAGTGCTCACCTAAACTGTGACATTTTTTAAACAAGCCACTTCAGATATGTCCTCAAAATGTTCCATGATTCAATTTAAATCTATTAAATCAAGTTAAATAATACTCCTAGCAACTTCCTGTACAGTTCCATTACCCTTTTGAGTGCAGACATTCCCCTGATATGCCTGATCATTCATTTCGCTTGGGACTGTTATTTCAGCCATTGAAGCTGACAACTTTTCCCAAGACAAAAATCAGAGTTTGGGTCTTATTGTTTTGTTGCCAATGAAAATGCACTGGGCCTTGGGGCAATGAATGCATCCACACTGTAAAACATTGTGGTGAGAAGTACCACCTCTCTTTTTTAAGAAAAGGGAGACTTTGACCTTTATCTGTTTTATGTTGAGATTTCTGGCCAGTTAGCTTGAGAGGCAGGTGTTCAATCCAACATGGCAGAAGTGGCAAATGTACTCAAAATGGATTATGAGGTCAGTGTTAAGTTACCAAAAAATTACCTGAGTCATAGGGTCATACAAAACAGAAAACAGACCCTTCAACCCACCTTGACCATGCTGACCAAGTTTCCCAAACTAAATTCATTCTATTTGCCCTGCATTTGGCACATATCCCTCTAAATCTTTCCTATTGATGTACCTATTAAAAATGTCTTTTAAATGTTGTAGCTGCCTGCATCTTCAACTTCCTCTGGCAGCTCATTGAACATATGAACCGCCCTCTGTGTGGAAAGAATTTGCCCCTCAGGTCCCTTTTAAATCTTTTCTCCTCTCACCTTAAAAATGTCTCCGAGTGTTGAACTCCCCCCACCCCCTCCCCCTATCTAGGGGAAATGCCTTTACTATTCACTTTATCTATTACCCGTATGATTTCATAAGCCTCTATAAAAGTGCAGAAAAGATTTATTCAGATGCTACCTTGCCAGGAGAGGCATAGATTAGGTAAATTGCAAACAGCTTTTCCCCATGGCAGAGGAGTCTAAATTAAGAAGGCACAGGTTTAACGTGAGAGGTGAGGGGGGAGAAATACAAAACAGCCCAGAGCGGCAATTTTTTCACACAGACATTGGTGTGTGTCTGGAACAGGCTGCGAGAGGTAATGGTGGAGGTAAGTACAATTTTCTCATTTAAGAAACATTTGTACAGGTACATGGATAGATGTGAAGAGATATGGACCAAACACAGGCAAATGGAACTAGTTTAATTGTAAAAACTGGGTAGCATGGATGACTTGGGCCGAAGGGCCT